GAAAGAGGGGGAGGCCTTCAACGAGATGGATTGACACTGTGGCTGCAGTGATGGGCTCAAGTATAGCAGGGATTGTGGGGCTGGCGCAGGATCGGGCAGTGTTTCGTTCTGCTGTGCATGGGGTCGCTATGAGTCGGAAACGACTTGATGGCACTTAGCAACAACAACAACAACAATAGGGATGAATCTCAAATACATCATTCTAAGCTAGGATTAAAAGGCTACATACTGTGTTACTCCATTTATATGACATTCTGAAACATGCAAAACTATAGGAATAAAGAAGACATCAGTGATTGCCAGGACTTAGGGATCAGAGTAGGATTTACTGAGTACAAAAAGGGCATCAGGAGGGGTGCATCTTGATTGTGGTGGTGGTTACATTTGTTAAAGCTCCCAGAGCCATAAAACAGAAAGCAAACAAACAAACAAACAAAAAAGAAGTGAATTTTACTCTATGTAAAGTAAAGAATTAACTTAAAAATTAAAGAAAATAAAGATGCAGTAAAGGAAAATGAAGGAATCTAAAGACTGAGTAACAAGAGGGGTAGATCAAGACTCAAGAGAGAGGAGTCTTAAACCTCACCAGGAAACTTGACTTATTAACAGGGATGTCAAGTAGGATGAATACTGAAAACACATTAAATAATTATATATTCTTAGGAATCTTTGATCAGGAAGTGGAGGGTAGCATTGAGAGGGGTTTGATTGGGAAGTTAAGGGTTAAGTTTGTTGGTGTGAGAACATTTGTTTATTTCCTCTCCCTCTTGAAAACCTACCTGGATGACAGTAAAGGAATAAAAAAGATAAAATCCCACAAGGATTAAAAGAGTGGGGAAAGCGATATTGAGACATCCAAAGATACCATTCTGGATTTTAATGCCTCAAACTTAAATATGAATAAATAGCCAAGGATCAGACACTTGAGGGAAGTAAAATAGAGACTAAAACAAGTAAACAAACATACAAACATTGTCAAAGGTATGTGAGGATGATGGGAGAAGGGAGGTGTGTGGAATAGTGTTATAAGAAAGCTAAATTCTATCCTTTTACGTTGCTGTTGGGTACTGTCAAGTTGGTTTTGACTCATAGTGATCCTGTGTACAACATTTCTTGGTCCTGCACTGTCCTCACAATCATTGCTGTACTTGAGCCTATCGCTGTAACCACTGTGTCCATCCGTCTCATTGAGGGTCTTCCTCTTTTTTGTTTACTCTCTACTTTACCTAGCATGATGCTCTTCTACAGGGACTGGTCCCTTCTAACAACATGACCAAAGAATGACAGACAAAGTCTGGCCATTCTCTCTTCTAAGGAAAATTCTGGCTGTGCTTCCTCCCAGACAGATTTTTTCATTCTTCTAGCAGTCCATGGCACATTCAGTATTCTTTGCCAGCACCACAATTCAGATACATCTATTCTTCTGCAATCTTCTTTATTCATTACCCAGCTCTTACATGAATACGAGGCTATTGAAAATACCATGGCTTGGGTCAGGTGCACCTTAGTCTTCAAAGTGACATCTTTGCTCTGTAACACTTTCAAGAGGCCTTTTGCAGCACATTTGCTCAGTGCAATATGACATCTAATTGCAATACGACTGCTGCTTCCGTAGGTGTTGATTGTGGATTCAAGTAAAATGAAATCCCTGCAACTTCAATCTTTTCTCCGCTTATTGCCGTGTTGCTTATTGGTCCAGTTGTAAGGATTTTTGTTTTCTTTATGTTGAGGTGTAATTCTATACTGAAAACTTATTTATTTGATCTTCATCAATAAATTCTTCAAGTCATCTTCACTTTCAGTAAGCAAGGTTGTGTCTTCTGCATATTGCAGGTTGTTAATGAGTCTTCCTCCAGTCCTGATGCTGTGTTCTTCTTCATATGGTCCAGCTTCCTTATATGTAGGAAGTAAATATTTCTACCACAAAGATACAATATGAAACAATATGCATGTTATTTAGAAGTTTGAAGGTAAATAGCAGGAGGAACAATAGTTAAGATGTAAAAATGTCTGTGAAGAGACTGAGGTGTAAGGAGAGATGCAGCACAGGAGCATTGTGATCACTGTTTACATTGTAAGTCTTGACATTTTATTAGACCCTATACACTGTAGACGGTGATTGCTTTATAAAAATAAAATTAAAGACATAAAATGTTAGAGCCAGGTCAAAAATTACACCATAAAATTGGATGATCTTATTAAAAAACAAAACAAAACAAAGAAATTGTTGATGGAATTTGGAGAAGTGAAGAGAATGAGTATTGAATACACTTTCAAGGAAATTGATAGTGACAGGAAGTAGAAACTTTTGTCAGGCAGGGAGGGTTGAGGGGACAACAGAATATGGTGAAGCAAGTTGCTAGAGGAGATGAGAAGGAATGAAATTAAGAGGCCATCCTCTGACACAGGAAGGAGTACCTTGTGAAGGGTCATTACAATGAAAGTAGAGGAAATTTGCTTGGTATATGCATAACTCTGTGTGGTGTGTGACTTATAGTTCTGATACATACAGAAAATTATTAATAAAGAAGAGAAAAATTGTAAAAAAACTGCAGTTAGCTTTATTCTAAGAGACCATCATTTATGTCCATTGCTGATAATTAATGCCTAATTACCATGTAACATAACAATTATTATGCATATAACTTAATGAGTCAAGTTGATGTTTGTAAGTTTTATCTGATTACACATTAAACTAGGTATTCTCAGCCTTTTAAGTTCATGATTTGCACTTACAACCCCCCAAATTAATGGAAATGTTTGTAATAAGTCTTACTTACACTTAAAAATTTTCATCCGTTTTAACAAAAAATCCTCTTAGGACAGATGCCTACCAGTATATTTAATAAGTTAATATGTATTTATTGCAGTATTTTCTTCCAAATAGTTCCATTTACTATCAACATATGCTGCTAAATAGGGAGAATCTAAATAGGGGTCCACAGCAATAGATTAAACAAAACAAAACAGAACCCACTGCTGTCAAGTAGATTCTGATTCATAGAGACCCTATGAAACAGAGTAGAACTTCCCCATAGGGTTTCCAAGGCTGTGACTCTTTATGGAAGCAGAGGCCTCATTTTCCTCCCATGGAGTGGCTACTGGGTTCGAACTGCCAACTTTTTTGTAGCAGCTGAATGCTTTAAAAGGCTATGACTAATGACTCCCTTTCCAGTAAGATCCCAGTGTACTCAGCTTGACCCTACTACTCCCTCTTCCACTCCCAGTAAAAGCAGAAAGTCCTCTAAGACAGCTTCGTCCCTGTAATTTAACCAGGGAGGATTTATGGAAGGAAAAGACAGAGGTTTGTGGAAGGGAGGGAGTATGGTTAGCTCCTCTCATTGGCTGGAAACCAGAATTCTGACACATGATCTTTGAGGCTATAGGGTGGTGGTGTTGGAGCCTCCAGTCAGGGAGTCTGGATGCATTTACTTTTGCCATTCCAGGGGAGTTACAACACTCTCCACCGTTTAGCTTGGTCAAGTGAGGTCATAATCGAAACTATCCATGAAGATTCTGCTTAAGCAGTATTCTGTGAGGAAGCAGGCTGTATTTATTCCTTCATAGAAGGGCCCTTCTCACAGTACAGCAAACACTAAAATCAATCTACATGTTTATAAACATATTTATATATATGTATATGTCTGATAAGTGGAAGTTGACACAATATTTTGATTTTTAGATATTTATTTAAATATTTTATTAATTTCAATTTGGCAATAATTTTCTTCTTTTTTTGGGGGGGTTCTAAATATATTTATGGGGCTTTAAAAAGCTTATAGGCTCCGTCATTGTATCTCTGGTGCCTAATAGAGAAGCGAGTGGTAGTGGCAGGATCTCTTGCACACTTGGTAATTTTAATTCCCTTAAATAACCTCTTGCTCAGGCCATTTGGTCTGTCCAATGGACTCCCTAACTTAAATTTTGGAGTTTGTGTGTTCACTCCTCTTAGGAGCCTTCTTTATTCCCTGGGCAAAACAATATACTTCTCCCTAGAATTGTAGATTCCAAGGCAGGAGCAGCAGCCTTAGCTAATCCACCCAAAGGAGCCAGGTATGCCCCTTCCCTGTTTGTCATAAAGATACTCTCCAGGTGAATTTCCATGATGTGACAGTCTGCTTCCTTTACAACCTTGGAAACCCCATGGGGCAGTTCTACTCTGTTCTGTAGGGTCACTATGAATCAGAACTGCCTTGATGGCAATGTATTTGGGTTTAGTTTATCTAGATGAGGAAGTATATGACAGTGGTCACTGGGAGGAAAGACTAAAAAGAAAATAAATGAGACACTCCATTACACATGCAGGCAAAATGATAGGAAAAGCCCTTATTCTTTAATTGGAGACCAGTAGCACAAGATGCTGAGTGAGTTTACAAAAATGGGTTTCCCCTGCTCTATAAGTTCTCACTAGATGTTATACTATAAGGAAAAAATGAAGTTTTCAGAAAAGATGTGCATTTTACTGCTTGTGTTAAGTATATTCATGGCAGAATGAAATTTTGAAGGAAGTTTAAAAAAGTACAAGAGAAAATGTTGCAAAATTAACATAAACTTATTCAATTGTTTCAGGATTTTAAACAAGCTGCACTGATAAGTCAGACTAACGTGAGCCTTTGCCAAGCATCTGCCATGTGCCATCACAGGTATGGAATACAGTTTATGTTGCAGTGAAAGTAAGTGAGATTATCTGCCATCGAGTCGGTTCCGACTCATAGCAACCCTTCCTAGGGTTTCTGAGACAGTATCTCTACGGAAGTAGATTGCCCAACCTTCCTTCTGAGGGGTGGCTGGTGAGTTTGAACTTCCAGCCTTCTGATCAGCAGTCAAATGGCTTTAGACACTATGCCACCAGAGCTCCTAAATAAACTAGGAAACAATAGCAAAAACAGGAAAATGGTGTGGAAGGACCAAGTACAGTAATGGAGAGAGACACAAAGTAATGCCTAGAATTCCCTGTATAGATATGGGGCCACATCTACGCATGCCATTTAACACCCTTCTGCAGCCACCCTGTGAAAGGAAGACTGGGTAATCTACTTCCGTAAAGATTTGCTGTCTTGGAAACTCAAAGGGGGTCACCATGAGTTGGAATCAACTTGATGGCAGTGAGTTTGGTTTTTGTGTTTTTTGGCCTTTGAATAAATTATTTGAGCCAAATCAGCTAGTGAAGATAGGCATTGCTGAACATCTGCTCAGGCAACATGCAGCTGCCTATACATCCGTGGTCCAGTAGTTTTTTTTTTTTTTTTTTTTTTTAAGGGAAGCAGGTCTCCATTTGTTATTTCCTCCTAATTTCTTAAAAGATCCCAAGTGCCCAGAGTGCAGGAGCAGTGGGGCTTGAGGGGCATCTCAATCACTGCAGTGCCTCTTCCTCTGCTTCCTCTTTCCCCTCCTCCTGGCTTCATTCAACTGCCCAGCAGCCACGTAGACATGCCTTTCACTCATGGAGCAGGGCATTGCCTGCTGTGGCTCTTCTGCTCCTGCTGTGGGCACCCAGCTGGCTTGGGGCACTCGCATGCTCTGGGCTCTCGGTGGAGGTGGCTGCGGGTGATCAGGAAGCTGCGACACCCAACATCACCACAACCAGCTATGCTCCGGCTGCAGTCGCTCCCTGCTGAGTCTTGTGGCTACCTCTCTCCACGTCTCCATACCTACCCACCCAATACTCCGAGACGTACCCAAAGTCCTGAACCGGCTGCCAGTGCTGCTCCAGCTTGGCCCAGCCACACATCCTGTCAGCCTCCTGTATCTAGTGGATTAAGCTCTTGGGCTTTATCTAGAGGGCTCCCACGAGGTTTTAATATAATTGGCTCTATAGGGATTTAACTATGGGATTGTATGGGGACTGCTTGCATCCAATATGATGTTCACAAAATGTCCAAATCGCATAATGTCCTGTTTAACAGAGCTCACCGTAAATGTTAAGCAATGAATGCCTGTATATATCTGCACTATGGCATTGGGGTTATCTAACTAATACAAGAGAATAGCATATACACTGGGAAAGGACCTTGTTAATATGCAGAATAAAATTACATAAAACTGGAAATATCTGAGAATGAAATCAACTAATTTATTTGCTCCTAAATGGAACTAGCCTTTAAAAAGCCTATTTACTAGGCAAAAGAGTAATTTTATAAAATAGTAATATATTGTCAAAAACATTTTGCATTAAAAAAAAGCACCATAGTTCTAAAGCCAAAACGAATTAAAACAATAAGAATAAATATCTAAAACTACATTAAAATCTACACAAAAAAGCTAAAGCATTATTGCCTATTTCTGAGATTGTTATACAAATAAGTAACTTGTTGGAAAAAGGAAGAAAACAATCACATATGGTAAAACCAGATGGTGATCTGATTAAAATATACTCACTTTGCTAACCATGGTGTTTACATTTCTGCATATACACTTGAAATCTAAAATTAACTTTTGGTTATCGTGTGTTTAAAAACATAGAAGTTCAGCATATGAAGTGGATAAAATGTATTTGGTCAAGCAGTAGTTTATAGCATAATTTTTCATGTAAGAAAGAATAATAAAAGTGCAGTTAATTTGGAAGAGGAAATTGGCATAGTTTATAAATTATCTAGACAAGGCTGAGTAAATATCCAATTTAGGAAATAGAACATAGTTTGAATTATTTAGGAAATTATCATTCATCTTTTCCCCTTTGGGATGTTTTATGTACATATACATGTAAAATATAATAATCTGAACTTGTGAAGATACCTTTTGGTTAAAAGTGTTAAGCTGGTCTCAGACCTTTAATTTTATATAGAAAACCATAGTAACACCATTGTCTCTTTTAGTCTAGCAACCTTTGTATAACCCATAGCTTTAAGTAATTGTCATTATTTGCTTTGGTGGGTGGTTGCAGACCTAAAAGATCTGAGGCAGTTGCGTTTTCTTGAAACTGAAAACTCACTCCAAAACTTCCTTTAGCCCCATTGCTATGTTTAGCAACTATTAGAGTCAGCAAAGTTCTCTCTGTGTCATATCACAATCTCTTTTATGAAATGTAATCACTGGATTTATATGGCAGAACCTCCTTAAGCTGATACTGCTTTGCAATTCCAAATAACCAGCTTTCTTCAGCTGACTCGACTCTGTATTGTCCTTTAATAAAAGTAGAATTTAAATCAACAGTAAAGCTCTGATAACTCACTGTCCACATTTCATGTGTTTTGAGTTTCAACGGTTTTACTGAATTTAGTAATAAGGAATGTTTAGTGATTGGTCATATTTATTTCAGGAAAAATATTTTTGCTTTTCAAGGCAAGTTACAGATAATGTATTTGTTACCCAGCAGTGTGGTTCTGTGAGTATAGTGAGACACTATTGGCATCTTACAGGGAAGAAGGTAACATTTTTCCATTTGGAAAATTATGAAAAAAAGGAATAAACCTTTAAATTGTAGGGCTGTGATCTTTGAACTCTTGGGGTTGCAAACTTTTCAAGTATGCCTTTGTATGTCTCTGGTTCTCACTCTTATGGTTGCTAGGAGACGACATTCCTTAGGCTGAGTATCCTACTTCTTGCCCAGTTTGGTTACCAAGAATGTCATGCTAGAGTTAAATGTTAGATCTCTTTGAAAAAAGAAAACAAACAAAAAACGCTTAGTAAGTATATTTTTAAATCAACCACAGAGGGAGAGCCTGATTACTGAGAGTGACATATCCATTTTTTACCTCAGCACATTTAGTACTTGCAGAAAATAGTTTTGTGTCTCTGACTTTGCAAGCCACATTCTTTAGTTGGAGAAGGTATTTGTGATTTATTTGTACACCTTAGTCAGGTATATTTGGTCACATATGTGGTTAATTTTGAAAATGCAGTGGGCCTTTGTATACATGGCCTGGCCCACAAGCTCACCATGTTGTTGTTGTATGTGCCGTTGGGTCAGACCCAACTCACAGCGACCCCTCCTTGGGTTTCCGAGGCAGTATCATTATGGAAGTAGATTGCCCCATCTCCTTTCCAAGGAGTGACTGGTGGGTTTGAACCGTCAGCTTACTTGTTAGCAGTCAAGTGCCTTAGCCACTATGCTACCAGAGCTCCCAATATAGTCGTACTAATAGGATATTGTAATAAGAATTATGTACCTCCAGTAATTAATTGCATCACTTTTGATTTACACAAACACATATTATTTCATAAAAATTTGTTTAATATCTTTCATATTTGTGGTAATTGATGCTTAACAATTTATGTCTCAGTGAGCATACAACTTGATATAACTCATGCACTGCCACACATTCTATTGACTAGCCACCGTGTAGTCACTTAACAGGAGCGCCAACCTACAGGACACTGTGATATACACATTTTCAGCAACATGACATTGTTGTTTCTATAGTGGTACCTATTTCATTTTTTTCTTATCTTTTGGTGCAGGGAGCCTGGGTTGCCTCTGGCTTTCACACACCCATCTCCTTGGGGCTTCATTGTAGTCATTTTCAGCTTTAAAGTGAGGGTCTTTCTGGAGAGACCTGGTGATCTACTTCAGAAAAATCAGTCATTGAAAGCTCAGTGGGAGAACTCTCAACTTTCACACAGCTGCTCTGAGTCTGAATTGACTCCACGGCAACTGGTTTTCCAGCTTTAAAGTTTATTCGTTATTTACTTAGTCTGAAAAGACTGGACGCTTGTTAAAAGTTAGTGCTGATAACTAGACAAAAACAAAAACCAAACATAACTGGATAGGTATAGAAAATAGATCCAGTCCTAAGTTACACAGCATAGTGGTGAGCTTAAATTCACTGCCTCAGTTTTTTCAACTGGTTAGAATACACAAAGGGTGCAACTACATTTTAAAAACTGCATTATTGCATGATGTATTCACAATGGATTTGTAATCTTCCTCTGGGTCTGAGGGGGCAGCATATATGATGCAATTTGAATATCTATATACTAGGACATTTCAATAATTTATGAGAAAATGTGAGAGAACTAGGATTGTCCTGGAAATTTAAGGTTATATGATCATTATAGGTATGCATGATAAGTAAATATTTCACAACCCATACATAGAAATACTAAGCACACAAAACCTAACAACTAAATGCATTTCCTACAAAATGACTATGAGCTAATTATTCTTGATAAAAATTCATTATACTATATTTAGAATTATTTGTGTAATACAGTGAGAACGCAGCTGTGGAAAGCATTGCCATTTTATATGCAGTGACCTTTTCCTTGTCAAATAGTACCTGTTGTCAGGAAAGAGGAGTGCAATTTCATTGTAAACAACTAAACAGAAGTGAGCCTGTGTTTTCGTGGAAACAACCCATGGAGTGAACTCAGATGATACTAATTGGCTTGTACGTGTGACTGTTCAGCTTTGCCAGCCTGTAATGTTAAAAGCTGAGCTTTACTCTTATGCACTGTTGATTCTTGTGTACTCTTTTAGCAGAAGACTTGATATACCACTTTCAGGTAGAATTTGCAAAACATGGATCAAGTATCATGACTATCTCAATTTTTTTTTTTAAATGGGGAATGGACAAACTTTAAAAGAAATATTGAATCATACCATAAAAATGGAATTCCTTTTCTGTTTCATAGAGTCTCAGCTAAGGTCTAGTCTTTAACATCATTCTCATATTTGCTAATGCTTTTAATACTGCCTTTGTAATCCATGGTACAACCCTCCAGTTCAGTTTTCTTAGACAACAGTTTCCAGCTGTACTTTTTGTTTATTTTTAGGATTACCTTCTATTCATTGATTTTCTATTGATGGTAGTGATATTAACCAGTTACCATCTAATTGATTCCTTCTCATGGCAACCTCACGGGCATTGCAGTAGAACTTCTCCACAGGGCTTTCAATGGCTGAGTTTTTGGCAGGAGCTCACCAGGTCTTCCTTCTGAGGTGTCTCTGGGTGAACTTGAACCTCCAACCTTTTGGTCAGCAGCTGAGTTTGTCAACTGCTTGCACAACCAAGGGAGGGATATTAAGTTGTGTTTTAGAATAAAACGTGAGTTAAAATAAAATGAAAACATGAGTTAAAGAAAAATATTCAGTAATGTAGGTAGAACATATAACAACTGGCAGGAACGAGGGACTGAAGTTTGGAAAACACTGTTTTAAGAGACCCATCTAAGTAATATGTAAGTGCTTATAATTTCTAGAACACATATGCTGGCTTCTTTGTCTTATGAAGGAAAAATGTGCAAAAATTGTGATGTAGCTTATTAAAATTTGAAAGCTGAATGAGAAATAATGAAAAAAAAAAAATGGAGTTAATAGTTATTGGATGAGGATCCCTGTGCCAAGTGTTTTTCACATGCTCTCGTTTGAGCCTCATCGTAAACTTGCAGAATTAGCGTTGTCTGTGTGTTTGGGTTCAGGTCTGAATTCCCAGCCTGTCTTCTGGTTGCATTGTTGAGGTATCAGTTCACTGGTTCTCCTGAACCAACTGCCAGTATATTAAAGGTGAAGAGTGTGTGGTAGAAATGACTGTGTGGGAAAGCATGGATTTTGGAATAAGGCTTACTTGAGTTTGAATTCTAAGTATTTATTCTGTGCAAACGTAGTATGGTCTTTACTATGCCATTTGCTAGTCTGATCTTCTCTGAGCCTTGAATAAATCTTATCTGTGGAGTGATAATTGTAACTAGCCTACAGAATTGTTGGAGGGTGTAAGTGAAATAGTAGATGGAAAGCTCTTAGCACAGTACCTGGTAAAGAAGCAGTTACTCAGTGGAAGCTCCATCATTATTTAAAAACAAAACAAAAACCTAAATTCTCTCCATGTTAACTGAGATTGAGAAAAGTTATTAGATATGCATGTAAATGGAAAAGTGACTTTATGTCCCCAAGTACAAGTATCTGATTCCTTCAATATCTGCATTCCAACCACAAGAGAATAATTATGGACGGTAGAAAGGCAGAGATGTCATAAAACCACTTATTTTCACAAGTTAGTAAATAAAATCTATTTTACTTCTTATTCTTCCATTCTTTCCTGGTGTCTACAATTAAATGGGCAGGCTTTAAAGAAGAAAATCTGACCTTAGCAAACCCATCTGATGAAAACTTGATTCCTGTCATTGTATAAGGAAAATACATGCAAATACTTTTTAAAATTTGACTTAAATAATGTATTCCATCAATGATAGCATTGTTATTTGATGTGGCAACTGAGAGCTATAAAATAGGTTCAAAAATGCCATTCAGATTTCTAAAATTCTGAAGAGAGGATTCCAGATTAGCATTTCAACACTTTCTGCTAAAAAATAGCTCTTACTTTCCTTTATTTACCTCCTACAATGGAAAAGAAAAATTAAATCCATTCTACAAGACTTCACAAATCTATGAAAAAGTCATATATGAAATAGCACTTAGACATTCACCAAGAACCATAAATATTTTCATTTATTTCAGAATTAACGAGTTTGAAGATGCTGTCAGTTTCTTCACCTGCGCTCTTAAAATTAATCCAAATTTTGTGGATGCTTATGTTGGACGGGGCAATTCTTACATGGAGTATGGTCATGATGAAGCCACCAAGCAAGCACAAAAGGACTTTGTGAAAGCATTGCATTTTAATCCAGTTTACACAAAAGCCAGAATTAGTTTGGGCTATAATTTGCAGGTAATATTATATAACAACATTTTGGGCCATGAAAGCACTTTTGGGACAAAAGAAATTATACATTTGGGTCCTTGCTGGAGATGAGAATTAATTTTATTTCTTTGCTTATGAACAATTTACCTTTCCCTTATTTTTAGTATCCAGAGTAGAATGGGAAACGGGTTCAGTTAAGTACAAGGAGCCTGCCTGGGTGAGCCTGAGGATCTATGTTCTGTTACCTAGTGCCACTCTGACAACATATACCACAAATGGGATGCTTGAACCAACAGAAGTTTATTCTCTTACAGTTTGGAGGCGTTAAGCCCAAGTTCAAAGTGCCAGGCTCTAGGAGCTGGGTGAAAACCCTTCAACCTTGGGCTTCAGCTCTGCCTCCTGCTCCCTGCCCACTGAAGCTGGAGGCTTTTCTTCACTCAACTGCTGGCTGCTGACACTGACAAGCCCAACGCTGACAAGTAATAAGGCATAGTCCTGATACTATCAAATCACACATCAGGCTGTTAATTCAAGTCCATTAAAAGTCCCAAGATCGGCAGAGCATGGCAGGCTGCTGAATGACTCAGCTACATGCAGGATTCAAGCTAGAGACCGTTCACCAAGGCTTCTCCTTATATACAGGAAGCAGACCACATCCATAAGGCAGCTACTCAGCTGCTCACAGTAGATCCCACCATGGAGTTGATTACCAGTCTCATTATAGGGAATGTTATATCCAGTAGTCCAGCCACTCAACCAGGCCCAGCCAAGTTGACACACGAACTTGACTACCACAATCTAGTATGCTAGTCAGATGAAAATCTTTTAAATCTGAGTTTCCTTATTATCTGTATCCTTCCTTACCTCACCCTCATATTTATAAACAACTTTTAAAATTTGCCTGATGAATTATAAGAACCTGATGAATATTTCTTTTACAAATAAGTGAGTTTGAGTGATCTGAGATTGGTAATATTGGAAGTAGTTGTTGGAATTGGTGATTCAAGTAAGGTATTCCTGAAAATTTGTTAATAAGAGAAATAAGATTGTCTTCTTAGTTAAACATAAAATTAGCCCTTGCTGGATCATAATAGAAATTTGCAACATTGTCATACAGAGACAGGATAATTCCCAGAGAAGCTAAAGATGACTATAATGCAATGGAATGTGTTATCATCATTTATTGCATTCAACTGTGATTTACTGAGAACCTACCATATGACAGGGACTTCTCTAGCCTAGGGATGTGGCATTGAACACAATGTGCTTGGTTCTTGTCTCTGTAGAGTTTACTATCTGTGAAATGGGCATCAAACAGTTATACAAATAATTATCTAATTGAAATCATTATGTAGTAGTTATGTTTGTATGTGAACTTGGCTGGGCAGCTGGTGGTAGTTATTCCCCATGATGAGACTGGCAATCAACTCCATGGTGGGACCTACCACAAGCAGCTGAGTAGCTGCCTTTGGGATGTGGTCTGCTTCCTGTATTTAAGGAGAAGCCTTGGGAATGGTCTCTAGCATATAGCATGCTTGGACCCTGTATGTGGCCGTGTCGTTGTTCAGCTGCCTGCCATGCTCTGCCGACCTTGGGACTTACAAGGGGCTTAAGTTAATGGCCTGCCGTGTGGTTTGGTAACATTGGGACTGTGCCTTTTTACTTGTCAACCTTGGGCTTCTCAGCCTCAGCAGCCAGCAGCTGTCTGAGTGAAGAAATGCCTCTAGCTCCAGTGGGCCGGGAGCAGGAGGCAGAGCTAGACCCCAAGGTTGAGGAGCTTCCACCCAGCCCCTAGAGCATGGCACTTTGAACTTGGACTTAAAGCCTCCAAATTGTAAGAATAAACTCCTGTTTGTTAAATCCATCCCATTTGTGGTATGTTTCCTGTCAGAGTAGCACTAGGTAACCAGAACACATTATAAGTGCAACCAAGGAAAAGGATGAGTGTTACGGTAACTTATACTAAGGTGATCTAGCATTGTTTGAGGGGTCAAGAAAGGGCTTTTTGAAAAGCAATGTTTAAGGTGAGGCTCAACAGACTAATAATAGTCAGGAGTAGTGGTTGGGGCCAGCACACAGTGTTTGAGCCTGAGGAAACAGCCTGGTGGAAAGTCTTATGAGAAAAGGGACAGAGAGCCCAACTGGTTGGGACATTATGGGCAAGGGGATAGTGAGTGAGATGAGTCTAGAGAACTGAGTAAGGGCTGGAGTTGAGTGCCCTGTAAGCTAGTTAAATATATGAATAACTTTAACCAGTGATATCTGATTTGCACTTTTTGAGCATCTCACTGGATATGTATTAATCTGAAACGCACTGCCGTTGAGTTGGATCCGACTCATAGAGATCCCTCCATGGGTCCTGAGGCAGTATCACTATGGAAGTAGATTGCCCAACCTTCCTTCTGAGGAGTGGCTGGCAGGTTTGTGCCACCAGCCTTCTGATTAGCAGTCAAATGCTTTAGGCCCTATGCCACCAGAGATCCCATTAATCCGATGGAGGGTTAAAAAATATATCAGAAGAAAGACTGAATCTGGAAAGAATAAAAAGAAAAATTTAAAGACCCACTCAAATATTGTCTAGGGGAAAGAGTGACCATTTCTTCAACAAATATAGATTCCCCTACTATGTATGTAACACTAGGGCTATAGAAGTGAGAAAAACAGACATCGTCAGGAACAGATGACAAATATAATTCTATTTTTAGGGCTATTTGCAGCTTAATATTCTAATAACCTACTCTCAATTAGCCTGATTCCTTGTTTAGCTAATGAGTATGTGTCAGCGCTGTGGATTTTAACATCTTTTACCCAGAGAGAGAAGATTTGCTGGTCAAAGAATAATGTCTAGTTCCCTTACAAGTTACATTTTTTATAGATTTATGAGAGTCATTGGGCTCAGCTTGGTTAAAGTGAGTCAACTTCTGAAATTCTGGCAAGTCAGGTTTTTGAGCCCCTGAGAATAAAGAACAGAACCTGCACTGTGCTGAATTTGTCAATTCATTTGCTTCCTGTGGTGAGGCGTTTAGTTGCCAGCTGGTTTTCTCTAGGAAATGCTCTGACTCTAACATCGTTCTACTACCAGTCTCCCTCTCCTGACCTTTTTCCCTCTTTTCTAGTTGGAGCTAAGGTTAGTATAGACAGATGTGTGGGAGATTTGCAGGCATTTTCCATGGGATGTGAATAGTGACCCTAAAATTGCAGATGCTGGTGCAATATATCAAAATATGTGTAACACCATCAGTCCATTCATTTATTGATTCAACATAATATTTATTTTATTATGTGACAGACATTAGAGATTCAGTGCCAAAGATGATAAATACAAGCCTTGCCGATATGGAATTTCGTGTAAACTTCATAGCTATTGTCAGAAGTATTAGTGTTTCACATGGTGACCATGATTTTATATTGCCCAAAATTGGTATAAGAGAAAAATCTGACAATTTATTTAATTATTTGAAATGTCAATATAAGTACTCAGAAGTAATTAGTCAATTGAATGCACTCATGGTATAGTCTACTTTCTTGTTTAACATATATTTAGTACAATATAAATATATCCTTACTAAAGGTTTTATAGCATAGTGGCTAAGACACTTGCCTGCTAACCAGACAGCTGGTGGTTCAAACCCACCAGCCACTCCTCGGAAGGAAGGTTGGGCAATCCTACTTCCGTAGTGATACTGCCTCGGAAACCCAAGGAGGGGTCGCTATGAGTCGGGTTTGACTTGACGGCATATAACAACAACAACAAAGGTTTTATTTAATTCAGTAAGTTAGAATCATAAACATTTGTCATGTTATGGACTATTTCCCATTTTATGCAAATGAAAATTTATTTTAGGCCCAAGGAAAATTCCAGAAAGCTTGGAATCACTTTACCATTGCCCTGGAAATTGATCCAAAGAGCTATAAAGCCTATGAAGGAAGATCTGTGATCTGTCTTCAGATGAGTAATACTTTTGCTGCAATTCAGGATATTAATACTGCTTTAAAGGTAAAAATCCACTTAGATTATATTATCATTAGCCTAAATTAACAGTGTGGATGACTAGGTTCTAGTAAATTCTCATGTCTTTTATTTTTTTAATTTTATTTTTGGTGAACTTTTACACAACGAATTAGGTTCCCATTTAACAATTTCCATACACTTTGTTCAGTGACATTGGTTACATTTTTCACAATGTGTCAACATGCTCATCATTTCCATTCTGGTCATTCTGTTTCTATTAATGTAGCTTCTCTGTCCCACCTTACATTCTCATCTTTGCTTTATGGTAGATATTGACCATTTGGTCACTGCAGTGTAGTAAATTACCTGATATGGCTTTTCTAGCCACAAGTCTTTGTAAACTCCAAGGTGGAATTTGCCATGAGCAAGTCAGGAGCTCCTGATTGTTAAAATTATCCACCTGGGATATTTCTGTTGAAAGCAGCAAAAATCAATGTTCTGGGAAGTTCGCTCTCTCTCAGGTGCTTAGAATTCTGATATTATGATTGGTTAGTTTGGTCACTCTGCCAGGCTCAAAAGGAGACCTCCTAGAGGCAGAAGAAGTCTTTCTGACTGCTGGCTGAGAAAGATGTGCTGCTGAGAGACACGTGCTTCTGAGAGACACGTGCTCCTGACAGCCATGCGCTGCTGCGAAAGAGACACTGAGAGAGAGACACACTTTGCTGAGAGAGAGACACTGAGAGACATGCACTGCTGGGAGAGAGACTGAGAAAGACTGTTGGCTGGGAGACAGCAGGCTGAGAGAGACTGAGCATTTTTCCCTGAACTGGAATTGTAGCTTGGTGCTTCCCTAATAAACTCCATAATCCGTGAGTTCTGTGTGTGGCCACTGCAGCAAATTATCGAACCCAGCAGAGAGGTGGTGGGTGCTGTGGGAGGAACGGTTGGTGTCAGGATTGTTGAAAGGGCTGGAGGGAGGCAGCTTGTTTGGCCTCACAGGAATAGGCCTTGGGCTATTGATGTGATTCTGTCTTCCTTTTGTGGGGTTAGAGGAGGTTGGAAGTTGCAGCTTCCTTGCCTCTGGCAGTTGATGTCAGAAGTGGGATTCGTTGCAGTGGTCCCAGACTGATAGAAGCATGGGACTTCATAAAAGAAGGAAGGAAGGGGCCTTGGAAGTGAAATTTTGGATTATTAGGTGGTTACTGTGGTTGGTGTTACCTATTAAAGGAGATGATTGATCCAGAGGCTAGGGCTTTTGGTTACACCCAGCCAAAGGCCCAAGGCCATATACATAGAATGGGATGGTAATCTAGCTGAAGAGATGGACCTGGAATGTCTTAAAAAGGATTATGTGTTTATCTAAATGTAATATGGATACTGCATGTTCTCTTACCTACTTGTACATTAGAAAAGATTATGGGGCGTGGATAACAAAGACTGTAAATCCTCCTTCAGCTGATACTTGATTGGATATGTTAAAAGGGGAAATAGAATTTTCCCAGAAGAAACAGAGGCTTTTGTTTCAAACTCTGTGTGTAGAGTATAGGGGGATTAGGTAGAAAACCTGAGCCCCACCCAGTACTACTGAGAGAACAGAAGATCTGCATTTGAAGACAACCACTTAACCACTGCTGTGGAGTCCATCTGATTCATAATGACCCCTCCTTGGGTTTCCAGGCAGTATCACTATGGAAGTAGATTGCCCAACCTTCCTTCAGAGGAGTGACTGGTGGGTTTGAACCACCAGCCTTCTAGTTAGCAGTCAAATGCCTTAGACACTATGCCACCAGAGCTCTTTGAAGACAGGAGACACCAAAAAAAAAAAAAAAAAAAAAAAAAAAAAAAAAGACTGCTTGGCTTTTTGAATTTCCAGCAAGCAGATAGGCTTTGGGCACATCAAGGCAGGAAAGACATGGCCCATGAGAGAAACCCCTTCCAGGACTGAAAGTTAAAGGAAACCAGTGAGCACTTGGCTTGTATGCTACTTGCTTGTGACCACCTGGGTCCACTTGAGTGGAAATGGGGGAAGTGCAGCAAAGAAGAAATGGACTGAGTTTGGTACTCTTTGACCTAGGCCATGGAGGCTGGGGATGAGAGGAAGAGCTGGCTGGTCTAAAGTGAAGGGAAGAGTGTGACTCCCAAACTTGACAGCTGGTACCCATGACCTAGCTGGGATGGCTAGGGCTGAACTGACCAGAACTTGAGCAAATGAAGAGGAAGATGTTTGACAATGAGCTGGTGTTAAGCTTCTGCAATTTGATGGCTTACACTGGGTTGGACTTTGCTTGTTTATGCATGCAGATGTCCAAAGTTTCCAAAAGCGAACAGAAGATTCTTCAGAGAGAAAGGACCATACTTGTCTCCTCACACTACTGGTTTGATAGGGATGGGCAAATTAGAAGTTGACTATCTAAATTGGGAGAAATAAAGGCATGAAATGGCTGGCTTACACACTTTCATGGGTGTGGTTATTCTTAAACTGGTGGGGAAGGGGATGTTAATTTTTGAAATATAACAAAGATAATGGCTAAAGCCAATGGGTGGCCTGTGGTTGTAGTAAATTACCTGGTATGTCTTTTCTAGCCACAAGTCTTTGTAAACTTCGAGGTGGAATTTGCCATGAGCAAGTGAGGAGCTCCCGATTGTTAAAGTTATCCTCCTGGGGTATTTCTGTTGAAAGTGGCAAAAAGCAATGTTCTGGGAAGTTTGCTCTCTCTCAGGTGCTTAGAATTCTGATGTGATGATTGATTAGTTTGGCCACTCTGCCGGGCTCAAAAGGAGGACTCGTAAAGGCAGAAGAAGAAGACGTGCTGCTGAGAGCGACGTGCTCCTGAGAGCCACATGCTGCTGAGAAAGAAACACCAAGAGAGAGACACGCATTGCTGAGAGAGACACACTGAGAGACATGCACTGCTGGGAGAGAGACTGAGAGAGACTGTTGGCTGAGAGACAGCAGGCTGAGAGAGACTGAGCGTTTTTCCCTGAACTGGAATTGTAGCTTGGTGCTTCCCTAATAAACTCCATAATCCGTGAGTTCTGTGTGTGGCCACTGCAGCAAATTATTGAACCCAGCAGAGAGGTGGTGGTTGCTGTGGGAGGAACAGTTGGTGTCAGGATTGATGAAAAGGCTGGAGGGAGGCAGCTTGTTTGGCCTCACAGGAATAGGCCTTAGGCTATTGAGTGTGATTCTGTCTTCCTCTTGTGTGGTTGGAGGAGGTTGGAAATGCGGCTTCCTTGCCTCTTTGCCAGTGACATACAGGTGATTATTTAAAGGACCATAGTATTCACTGGCAATATTGTTTGTTTTATGATTCAGTCTGTTATTTGGCTGAAAGGTGACCTCTGGGAATGGGTTTATTTCCAAATTTAAAGAGTATCTCAGGGTGGTAAACTCAGGGGATTCTCTAATCTCTACTGGTCCAGTAAATCTGCCCTTTTTTTGGGGGGAATTTGAGGTTTGTTCTACATTTTTCTCCCTTTCTCTCCAGGATCATTTATTGTGTCTTTGCTGGCATAGTGCCTAAGGCATTTGACCAGTAACAAGAAGGCTGGTGGTTCAAACACACCAAGCACTCCTCAGAAGGATAACACCTCAAAAACCCAAGGAGGGGTCACCATGAGTTGGAAACAACTTGACAGCACTGAGTTTTTTTTTTTTTTTAATCAGATGGTTATTGGTAGTAGCCAGGCACCATCTAACTCTTCTGGTCTTAAAATAGATGAGGCTGTGGTCTGTGTGAGGTAGTAGTCACGTAGAATAGTTTCTTCTTTGAATCTTTGGTCTCCTTTTTCTCCAGATGAGTAGAGACCAATTGTTGTATTTTAGATGGCTGCTGGCAAGCTTTTAAGACCCCAGACGCTACTCACCAAAATAAAATGTATAACAATATCTTCATAAACTATGTTTTGCCAGTGGACTGAGTTGTCCCCTGAGACTGTGATCCTATGCCTTCAAACCCAGTAAAACAAAACCATGATGTGTTTGTTGTTGTTATATGCTGTCGAGTCAGACCCGACTCATAGCGACCCCTCCTTGGGTTTCCGAGGCAGTAGCACTACGGAAGTAGATTGCCCCATCTTCCTTCCAAGGAGGGGCTGGTGGGTTTGAACTGACAGCCTTCTGGTTAGCAGTCAAGTGCCTTAGGCACTATGCAACTAGAGCTCTCATGAGGTGTTTAGTTATCTGCAATTGTGCCTATGTGCTTTATTATATATATGAATATATATGCATTATATACAAACGTGCATATACATATGCCTACAGATATACTCTGGTAGCATAGTGCCTAAGGCATTTGACTGCTAACCACAAAGCTGGTTTTTCAAACCCACCAGCCACTCCTCAGGAGGAAGGTTGGGCAATCTACTTCTGTAGAGATCCCACCTCAGAAACCCAAGGAGGGGTTGCTGTGAGTCGGATCTGACTCGATGGCAATGAGTTTGGTTTTTGGTTCAGATATACCTATACATGCTCACCTGTATATTCACATGTGCCTTCCTGTACATATAGATGCATACAGGTCTACTTATGTAACCACACACATGTTTGGTTGTTATTATTGTTATTGCAAAACTGTATATCTAATAGCATTTGCCAAAATTGTCCCTTACTCTTGAGTACTTCTTATTGTCATCATTTACCTTGGTCAAGTTGTGCTGACCTCACCCATATTGAGTATTGCCTTTCCCATCACCAAGGAATAACAAGTGTCTAATATTTAGAAAGTTTTCCCATCCTATCCTTGGTAACCACCAAAGAACATTACTTTCTGTATGTACATCTATTCTTGTCTTTTTATAAAAGTGAGACCATGCAATATTTGTCCTTTTGTGATTTATTTCACTTAGCACAATATCCTCCACATTCGTCCATGTTGTAAAATATTCTGAGACCTCATCATTATTCTTTATAGCTGTGTAACATTCCATTGTATGTATGCACCACAATTTGTTTATCCGTTTATCTATTGATGGACACTTAGGTTATTTCTATCTTTTTGCTATTGTGAATAATGCTGCAAAGAACATAGATGTACATATGTCTA